CTGTCGCACCAGCGACTGCGGCACCGACAGGGCTCACGCTCACCCTGGGGCTTGGCCCGCGGCAGCGGGAGTGCCTTCGCAAGCTCCGATCGGACGCCCTTCGGCACGAACACCAACACGGACAGCAACCCTCCGTCGGCCAACCTCTTTGCATCCCAGAGGGTGACGCTGAGGAGGCCCCGCATGAGGCCATCGGCGCGACCCCCACGAGCTCCTGACCGAAAAAGGATCAGAGAAGGAGAACGATGACGCATCCACCATCGGGGGCGATGCCCTGCGCAGGCGGGATCCGCCATTCCCTTGGCCCCCACTCTTCCTCTCTACTCAGCTGCGACCGGGGCGCCAGGATTGCTCATGACATAGGGTGTGTTATGCAGCACACGTTTGTTCCTTCTCGACGGTCTTAGCTTGCCTTGGCTTGTAGGTTTCACTGAACCCACTTGGCCACGCTTCGCGTAGCTCCACGGGAGCGCGCAGCTTCAAAATTCTGATGAGGGCGAGCACACGCCTTGCCGCCCTCGCCCTCACGATCGCGGCCAGCCCACCAGGGCTCGCGGGCAGGGGCACCAGCAGCCTCGCGCCCATGACTGTGACGAGCAGTGCAACGAGCACCAAGCCTGTGCGCAGCAGGTATGCGACCAGCTCCTTGACACTCAGCAGCACAGTGGAAGCGATCACCACTACATTGAAGAACACGACGGGATCCAGCACCCAGCAGCCTCACATTCACGAGGGAGACGAGCAGTGCAACGAGCATCACGGCTGTGAGCAGCACGTCCAGGACAAGCTCCGCGACACCGTGCAGCACAACGGAGTCGAGCACCACCACGATGTGCACAACCACGGGATCCAGCATCAGCAGCCTCACACCTACGAGTGAGACGACCAGTTCACCGAACACCACATCTCTCAGCAGCACGTCTATCACCGTCACCTCGACACTGAGCAACTCGACCGAGTTGAGCACCAGGGCGGTGAGCAGCGCGACGAGATCCAGCACCAAGATCCTCAAATTTACCAGTGAGACGAGCAGTGCAACGAGCACCACGTCTTTCAGCAGCATGCCAGGGATCATCACCTCGACACCAAGCAGTACGGCGGGACCAAGCATCACGATGGTGAGCATCAAGACGTGATCAAGTATCAGCAGCCTCATATCTACGAGTGAGACGAGCAGTGCAACGAGCATCACGCCTTCGAGTAGCACGTCCTGGACCATCGTAACACCGTGCAGCACGACGAAATCGAGTACTACGACGGCGGGCATCACGACGGGATCCAGCTCCAGCAGCCTCACAACTACGAGTGAGACGAGCAGTGCATCGAACACCACGTCTTTCATCGGCAAATCTGCGACCAGCACCCACACACCGAGCCATGCGACAGAGTTGAGCACCACTACGTTCAGCAGTACCGCAGGATTTGGCATCAGCAGCATCACATGTATGAGGGAAACGAGTGGCGCAACGAGCAGCACGTAAGCGACCTGCACCTCGACACTGAACAGTACGACGGGATCAAGCATCTCGACACTGCGCTTCAAGACGGGACCCAACAGCAGCAGCCTCAAACCTACAAGCGAGACGAGCAGTGCAACGACCATCACGCCTCTGAGCAGCACGATCGGGACCAGCTCCGCGACACCGTGCAGCACGACGAAATTGAGCACTACTACGTTTAGCAGCAGCACGACGGGGCCCAGCCCACATCCACGAGTGTGACGAGCAGTACAACGAGCAAGATGTCTTTGAGCAGTACGTACGTCCGGGACCAGCTCCGTGACACCGTGCAGCACAACGGAGTCGAGCACCACCACGATGTGCACAACCACGGGATCCAGCATCAGCAGCCTCACACCTACGAATGACACGAACAGTGCTTCGAACACCACGTCTTTCAGCAGCACGTCGGTGACCAGCAACTCGACACTGAGCAACGCGATGGAGCTGAGCACCACGACGCTGAGCAGTGCGATGGGATTCAGCGCCAAGATCCTCAAAGTTACCAGTGAGACGAGCAGTGCAGCGAGCACCACGTCTTTCAGTAGCACAGCAGGAACCAGCACCTCGACACTGAGCAGCACGGCAAGACCAAGCATCACGGCGTCCGCGCATCAAGACGGAATCAAGCATCAGCAGCCTCACATCTACGTCTGGGAGAACGAGTGCAACCAGCATCACTCCTTCGAGCAGCTCGTTCAAGAACTCCGTGTGCAGCACGACGAAATCGAGCACTACTACGTCGAGAAACACGAGGGGGCCCAGCCTCACCAGCCTCGCACCCACGAGTGAGACGAACAGCGCATCGAACGCCACGTCTTCCAGCAGCACGTCTGTGACCAGCACACCTCGACAACGAGATCCAGCAACAGTTGCCACACATTTACGAGTGAGACGAGCAGTACATCAAACACCACGTTCTACAGCAGCACGTACGCGACCTGCCCTTCGGCACCGCGCAGCGCGACGCGCGACGGAACTGAGCACCACGACGTTGCGCAGTTCGACTGGACCCAACATCCACAGCCTCACATCTACGAGTGTGACGCGCAGTGCAACGACCAGAATGTCTTTGAGCAGACCAGCTCCGGCGCACACCGCGCAGCACGACCAAAGCGAGCACTATAACCTAGAGCAGCACGACGGGATCCAGCACCAACAGCCTCCCATTCAAGAGTGGGACGAACAGTGCTTCGAGTAACAAGTCCGTCAGCAGCCCGTCAGCGACCAGCACTCTAACACTGAGCAACGTGAAAGAGTTGAGCACAATGACGCCGAGCAGGACGGCACGAGCCAACAACGGCAGCCTCACATCTACGATTGAGGCGAGCAGTGCAATAAGCACCACGTCTGGGAACGGCACCTCTGCGACCAGCACCTCGACACTGAAAAGCACCAGCGAACCAAGCACCACGACGTCGAGCAGTGCGACGTTGAGCGTGCGACGGGACGGCACGTCGGGCACTGCGACGGGACAGCACGTTCCGCACCACGACGTTAAAAGCGCGACGGGACTGCACAGGGTGCCTCTGGAGGTCAGGCGTCATGCCTACGCGGGGGCTCGACCACACGAAGCGCAGCACAGCCCCTACCGTCTCCTCACCGCGTCCGAGAAGGCACAAGGCGATGACGCCTCTGGATGCGGGTGGCCACCAGGACCCCGCCCCAGGCGCCGGGCCGCCCACCATCAGCACGATGGAGGCGAGCACCATGGCGTGAAGCTGTACGACGGGACCCATCACCATGTGCCTCACATCTGCCAGAGAGACGGGCAGCGCTACGTGCAGCACGTCTCTGAGCAGCACGTCCAGGACCACGATCTCAACGCCAAACGGCACGAAGGAGTCGAGCAGCACGAACAAGAACTGCTGCACGACACCGAGAGACACGACGGGACTCAGCACCAGAACACCTCACACCAACGAGCACGATGAGCAGTGCGAGCAGTGCACCGATCACCACTCCTCTTACCATAGGGGAACAAAAAGTGACATAAACATAAAAACTCGGAGGTCCGCGCGGATTTCTCGGATCGGCGCTGGGGCCCCACGGCGGCGCCTCCGGCGCCGCCCCTGGCGCGCTCCGCGCGCCAGGGAGGGGGGTCCAGGGCCGATCCGAGAAGTCCGCGCGGACCTCCGAGTTATTATGTTTAAGCCACTTTCTGTTCCCCTATACCAGCACGCCTGGGAGCAGCACCGCGAGAACGAGCAGCACGACAGCGCCGATCTTTCCTTGGTGGCTTGGAGCTGTCTCCCGGGCTCGCCCAGGCGGCCCCGTGCCGGCCGCGCGGGGTGCCTCCAGCGGAACCCCTGCCAGGCCAGGACGAGAGGGCCCTGGAGGAGGAGGAGGAGGAGGAGGAGGAGGAGGAGGAGGAGGAGGAGGAGGAGGAGGGAGGAGGAGGAGGAGGAGGGAGGAGGAGAGGAGGAACAGCGATAAGCATATGAGGAGGAGGAGGAGGGAGGAGGAGGAGGAGGAGGAGGAGGAGGAGGAGGGAGGAGGAGGAGGAGGAGGAGAGGAGGAGGAGGAGGAACAGCGATAAGCATATGAGGAGGAGGAGGAGGAGGAGGAGGAGGAGGAGGAGAGGGCCCAGGAGGAGGAGGAGGAGGAGAGGGAGGAGGAGGAGCAGCAGCGATAACCATATGAGGAGGAGGAGGAGGAGGAGGTGGAGGACCTCGCGGCCCCGTGCCGTGCGGAGGACAGCCAGGCTCCTCGCGGCGGAACCCCCCGGGGCTCGATGGAGGAGCGGAGGCGGGGCCGGCACGGCAGCGCGACCTCCCGCGATGCACGGGCGGCGTCACAGCGCACACCGAGACGCACTCGCGCACCACGCCTCGCACCACGGTGTTCACGAGGGCCACTCGCTACGACGAAGCGGGCGAGCACGACCCGCAGCGCCTTGATCACGGGCAGCACGACGGAGTCGGCTCCTCCTGGGCGGGTCTGGCCACGCCAGGCCTTGGAGCGCGGCCGTTGGGAGCCCGCGTGCCGCGCGGTGTCTCCAGCGGAACCCCTGCCAGGGCGAGAGGGGGCGGGGCCCGCCGGGGCACCGCGACCCCTTGGCTCAAACCCCCCCACAGGCGATAGCCGCGACCTTGCGGTCCCGCGCCGTGCAGAGGACAGCTGAGCTCCTCGCGGCGGCCCCCCCCCCGACCTGACGGAGGAGCGGAGGTGGCGGCGGCACGGCAACGCCCTCCCACAATGCACGGGCAGCATCACGGCGCTCACCGCGACGCACTCGCGCACCAAGCCTCGCACCGCCGAACAGGACATTGCGCAGCGCGACAGGACAACACGCTGTGCACCACGACGCTCAAAGTGCAACCAGACGGCATGGGACGCATCTGGAGGTGGGGGGCCACCAGGACCCAGCCCCAGGTGTCAGGCCGCCTGCTGCGCATGTTACATGGGGGCTCGACCACCTGGAACGCAGCTCAGCCCCTACTGTCCCGCCCACGCCCTCCCCCGCGCGAGAAGGCACAAGGCGATGATGCCTCTGGAGGCGGGTGGCCACCAGGACCCCGCCCCAGTCGCCAGGCCGCCTACCATCAGCACAAGCAGACTCAGCACCAACACCTCCCATACACGAGCGAGAAGAGCAGTGCAACGAGCACGTCTCTGAGCAGCACGCCATGGATCAGCACCCCCACACCGAGCAGAACGACGCGATCAAGCAGCACGGCGTGACGCATCACGACGGACCCTGGCACGAGCAGTCCCACGTTTGCGAACGAGGCGGGCAGAGCAGTGAGCACCACGTCCATGAACAGCTCGTCTGCGACTGGCACCTCGTCACCGTGCAGCACTAGCGAACCGAGCTCCACGACGTTGAGCAATGCGACCGGGCGGCACGGCAGCGCGAGCGTGAACACGGTGAGCACCACGGCGGTGAGCGCGGGACGGATCGCCAGGTCGAGCAGCGCGATGGGACGGCACGTTGTGCAACACGAAACCGAGAGCGCGACGGGACGAAATGCGACGCATCCAGAGGTGGGGGGCCACCAGGGCCCAACCCCGGGTGTTAGGCCGCCCACCGCGCAGGTTGCATGGGGGCTCGATCACTAGGATCGCAGCTCGGCCCCGACCGTCCCTCCCTCGTCCTCCCCGCGGCCGAGAAGGCACAAGGCGTCGATGCGTCTGGAGGTGGGTGGCCACCAGGACCCCGCCCCAGGCGCTACAGTCGGGGCGTTGACCTAAGGAACCCTAAATAAGGAACGAGGCCCCATTTTCTCATAAGTTAAACATCGATGTCCCATGGAAAACCTCAGGAAGACCTGAGGCAAACTGTTAAACAATCAAGGAACACCGAGCCCATCCCCAACGAAAAGGGTTCCTTCTTCAGCGCCCCGACTGTAACAACCCGAGAGAGGACCCGCGCGGGACTGGCGACGAGCCGCGTACTGGGCCTCTGGGCGGGCCAGCGCCGCCGCCACAACCCGACGGCTTGGACAGTGCTGCCGCACACGCAGGCCCTCAACGCATCGCACTCTGCCATCAGGTCGCTATCCTGTGCCTCCACGGTACGGCGCCTCACGGCCTCAGCACCACCCACCAGGATGAAGGCATCCGAGTGACTCCAGCACAGACCACCAAGCGGATGGTTTGGCCCAGACGGTCTGGCCCATGCGGCGGACGTCCACCAGGACCCCGCGCCTTTACAGCCAACCTATCCGACCACCAAGTCGCTTTCCCCTCCAACCAGAATGCGGGGACCAGCGGACCGCCTGCAGCGCTGTCGGAGTAGACTTCGGCCAAACGGTGACGCAGCGAACGGACCGAAGGCTAACCGCCAGACCGTGAACACGAAACGGCCCTCATCGCTAGCATCACGGCGCTGCAAAGGGGACCAGCCACCTTGCTCAAGCCAGCTAATCCATTCAGGAACAGTCTACTCCGCTCCTGCACTGGTTCCACCGAGCGCAGGCCACCTGGAACGCTCTTGGGGTTTCAGTCCAGGGAAACCTTCAGGCGTACCTTGGTGATCACCGCTCAGCACACCAAGGCCAGCGTCTCCTATCCTGGGCGCGCTGCGAGAACAATTGGCAACTGCTCCGTAGCTGTCACACTGGGCCGCCGCGGGGGATGCCCCAAGGCAGCGCCACGGTTCACTGAGGCACCGAGGCGCGCATGCCAACGCTAGCAGCCAGCGCCTGGTTTTTCGGGCGTGTAGGCGAGCCCTCGAATGGCCTGTTCACCACTCAACCGTTTTGTTTTCCAGTCGGGGTCCTTCTGACCGCGCCAAGGGGAGGGTAGCAGCCCACCCCTGCTCTCCCAGCGGCGCCAAACCCGCGGCGGGGCCTGGACCAGACCTGGTCCGAACTGGCGCGCCCTCCCCCGATCCTCACCCCCCCCAACCCTTCCCTCCCTCCCCGCCCCCTCCACATCACGTCCACATCCCTCCTCCTCCATCCCTCCATCCCTCCCTCCCTCCCTCCCTCCCTCCCTCCCTCCTGCTGCTCGGCGCCGAGCCGGCCCTCCCGCTGCCCGGCGCGCCGATGCCTCCTCACTGCTGTGAAATGGCGCTCCCCCTTTTGTGACCAGGGCCAGCCTTCTGGCCGAATGGAGCGTGCGCCTGGAATCGAATCGAACCTCACCCCCCTCCTGCCTCCTGACCCCCTGCCCTCCCGAGGGCAAGTCTGGCGCCAGCAGCCGCGGCAATTCCAGGTTCCATAGCGTATAGCAAAATCTGCTGCGGTGAAAAGGCTCGCAATGAGATCTCTGCAGAGGACGACCCGTCCGCCCTCTGGGTGAGCATCTGGCCCATGCACCTGCACGCCGCCGCCGTGCACGGCCAGGGCCACCCTGGGCCCTGGCACGGCGCATGCGCCCTCCCAGGGCCCAGGAGGGCCCTCGCTGGGGGCACGGTGGTGGCTCCCCGCCGCCCCTCCCCCCGCTGCGCGGCCTGCTCGCCGGCGGTGGAGCCGCCGTGCGCGGCGCTGTCCGCCGACGGCCCCGCCGTGCTGGTGGGGCTCTGGACGGCGCCGGGCTGGAAGCCGCTGGCGGCCTGGGGGGGGCTGGGGGAGCCGGCGGGGCGCCGCTGCCACCACCCAGAGACAGAAGGCGCCGGGCTGCCCATACGCCATGCGCTGCGCCGCCAGATGCACGGTCGGCGTTGCCACGGTCCTCCCCAGTCCCATCCACACCACCCCCTTTCCATTCCTCCCTCCCCACTGCTTTCCACCTTTCGGCCCCTCCCGTTTCCTTCCCCCCCCCAATCCCGACCACCCTTCCCCCCTCCGCCACTCCCTCTCCCCACCAATCGCCTTCCCGCTCCACCCTCCATCCAAAGAGCAGGGTAACGAGGAGGAGGAGGACGACGACGACGACGACGACGACCATAACGACGACGACGACAACGACGACGACAGGGGCCACGAAGAGACTAAGATTCATCCTCTTGGTTTTTCAGTTCCTCCTCTTTCTCATTTTCCTTTTCCTGCTCCTCCGGGTGAACTGTTCCTTTTCCACCTCCTCCTCCTCCTCCTCCTCCTCCTCCTCTTCTTCGTCTCCTCCTATTACTGTTCGCTCATATTCTTAATTTGCTGATATCATCATGTGTGGTAGCCGTACTGCTAACAGGAGAATTTGTCGGAATGATATCATTCTTACTTGTACAGATGTTCGCATGATTGTCTTTACTATAATCCGCTTTACTGATGAACTTATTCGTGGTATCATGATTTGCAGTCGCATTCAGATCATCATTATTCTTTTCATTCGAATTCTGATTATAACCAGTTATATTATTGATTTTGTGTGTGTTCGATTAAGTATTAATAATACCAATACTAAAGTTGCATCATAATTATTGTGATTATTATTAGTATTTCTATTCCTAGTCATATTCCTCCTCCATCTCCTCCTCATCCTCGTCGTCATCATCTTTCACTCTGTTTCTGTGAAAATAAATCCTCCCTGCCGTACCCCGATGTCAATCCGAAAGGCGGGCCGGGCGTTTCGCCTGGGATTCCGTTACCACTTGTGATATTACTTGTAGCCTACAAAATGACAACAGTTTCACGGATTCAGGGCGGGTGGTTTTCACAATGTGGTTTTCGCCTCATCGCCGCACACACTCGTTGTAAAAAGTGCAACGAGCCTCACGGATTGAGGGCGGATGATTTTCAATATGTGGCTCTCGTCTCAGCGCCGCGCACACTCGTTCTGTTAAACGCAAGGAGACTCACCGATTCACGGCGGTTCCTACTGCAAAATGTGGCTCTCGCCGCAACGCCAAAAAACAGCCGCCTTAAAAAATGTGCAAGAACTGCACGGCTTGACGGCGGTTCCTTTTCAAAATGTTGCTCTCGCCTTAACGCCGCGCACATTCGTCTGGCAAAAAAACTATGGATGTCACTGATTCTCTGGCTAACTTACCACAAAACGTTTCGGAACAACAACAACAACAACAACAACAACAACAACAACAACAACAACAACAACAACAATACCAACTAACAACAACGACGACAACAACAATTGCAACCAACCAACCAACGGCAACAACCACCACCAACAACAGCAGAAACAACCAACAACACCAAGAGCAACCAACACCAACCAGAACAACCAACAACAACAACAACAAAACAAACACAGCGAACAACAACAACAACAACAACAACAATTACTAGCACGTGGGGACACTCCGTTCTCACCAGTGCCAGGGTTTTCATAGGAGGCGGGCAATACCCCCACTTTGTGGGGGGGCCGGTTCAAGCTCTACCAAATTTCCAAACGACTCTTCGCCACCACCCACACCCAGCTTCCCGCCCTATGACGTTCGGACACTTCACTTCGTGGCATGCGGACGACCGTGGCTACTATTCAGGGCCCCGCGGCCGACGACGACGGCGTGCGCGCGCGAAGAAAAAACGAATGTGTCCCGCATGGTATTATTTGACAGGGATGATGGCCCTGGCAGGTGCGCAACCGTTGTCGCAGAAGTTCGAAAAAGTTGCTCGCAAAAGCCCGTTTGACAGAAATGTTTAAAAAGTGTTGGGTTTCCTACGAATCCGCAAGAGCGCGCGGGATGAGATTTTGACATTTTTTTGTTGAAAAACCATTGGTTTTTTGATGTTTTTATGTTAAAATCGCTCCGAACACTAAGCTTTTGGAAGGATTTCGTCTTGCGCGCGCGAATGTCCACTTTACCTTATTTTTTGCAAGGGATTCTTGAAATTTGATTATATTAGAACAAGAAATGTCATTTTATAGTGTTTTTTGCAAGGGAAAACGGATTACAACAAAACAACCGGATCTTGATGACATCGTATTACCTGAGGCTTCCTCACGAAAATGATGAAAATGTAGCTGCGGCCTAGGCGGCGCAGGGGGGCCGTGCACCAGGGGTCCCAACAATAATTATTCTTTAGAATTAATAATGTTCAACAACAACAACAACAACCAACAACACCAACAAGAGCAACCAACAGCAACAATAACAACCAACAACAACAACCAACAACCAGCAACATCAACAACAATAACAACCAACAACACGAAGAATCACCAACAACAGCAACCAACAACAACAACAACAACAAAACAACAACAACAACAACAAAAACAATGAAGGCATCAACAACAAGAACAGCCAACCACAACAAAAAGAACAACGACAAACAACAACAATAATAACCACCAACGACAACAGTAACAACAAAAACGTCAAACAACAAACAACAGCACCCAAGAACAACACCCAGCAACAACAAAAGTAACCACCACCACCACTAACAATAACAACCAACCAACTAAACAATCAACAAAAAACGAAAAACAAAACAAAAAACAAAACAAAAAAAAAAAAAACGAATTAGCCTGACGAAGGACCCAACCATAGGCTGGTGTGAGTACCGCAATTGTGCTTCACTTTTTCGGTGGTGATCCTTATAAGCAACGAACAGTGCTAGGGGTGCGCCGACATGAGTGGCGTGGTGCACAACGCGAACGAAAACGATTGATCTGAGTACACAAAGAGACTGAGCGCGAGTGAATCTGAGCGCGAATGCGTCTGACTGTGAACGAATTTGCGTGCGAGCGACTCTACCGGCATGAATGCGAGAATGACAAAGCATGGTACAATTATATATGGATCTCAATAGCTTGAGAATGACTGCCTCTGAGTACTCGTGACGCTGAGCGTGGCCGCCGCGAGGAGCTTCCCCGGGACTCCCCGACGGCATCGCCCGCGCGCCGCGACGCCAATGTCGCCGCGCACCCCCGCGAGGATCGCGCCCGCTTCCTCCCCTTCTTTTACTCCCTCTTTGCCCGCGCGCTCAAAAGTCCAAGGCTGCGGGCGCAGCGCAGCGCGGAGCCCCCGCGACGCGCGCAGGTCGCCCCGGAGGGGTCCCAGCGACGCGCGCGGGTCGTCCGCTACGCGGAGCAAAGAGAGCTAGCTGGCTGGCTGATAGCGGGCAAGGCTCTTGCCGCTGGGACGACGGGCGAGCGAGGCGGTGGAGTTCCCTATGGGGCCACGAAACGTGTGAGGGGTGGGCCGACATGAATGGCGGGGGCGCATGCGGACTGCGCCACTGGGACCTTCGGCGGAGCTCCTATGGGGCCACGAAACGCGTGAGGGGTGGGCCGAAATCAGTGGCGGGGACGCATGCGAACTGTGCCACTGGCCACGGGGACCTTCGGCGGGGCTCCTATGAAGCCACGAGACATGTGAAGGGTGGGCTGACATCAGTGGCGGGGACGCATGCGGACTGTGCCACTGGGACCTTCGGCGGAGCTCCTGTGGGGCCACGAAACGTGCGAGGGGTGTGCCGACATGAATGGCGGGAACGCATGCGGACTGTGCCACTGGGACCTTCGGCGGAGCTCCTGTGGGGCCACGAAACGTGTGAGGGGTGGGCCGAGATCAATGGCGGGGACGCATGCGAACTGTGCCACTGGGACCTTGGGCAGAGCCCCTATGGGGCCACGAAACGCGTGAGGGGTGGGCCGAAATCAGTGGCGGGGGCGCATGCGAACTGTGCCACTGGGACCTTCGGCGGAGCTCCTATGGGGCCACGAAACGAATGAGGGGTGGGCCGAAATGAGTGGCGGGAACGCGTGCGAACTGTGCCACTGGGACCTTCGACAGAGCCCCTTCTGGGGCCACGAAACGTGTGAGGTGTGTGCCGAAATGAATGGCGGGGACGCGTGCGAACTGTGCCACTGGGACCTTCGGCGGAGCTCCTATGGGGCCACGAAACGTGTGAGGGGTGGGCCGACATGAATGGCGGGGACGCATGCGAACTGTGCCACTGGGACCTTCGGCGGAGCTCCTATGGGGCCACGAAACGTGTGAGGGGCGGGCCGAAATCAGCGGCGGGGACGCATGCGAACTGTGCCACTGGGACCTTCGGCGGAGCTCCTATGGGGCCACGAAACGTGCGAGGGGTGTGCCGACATGAATGGCGAGGACGCATGCGAACTGTGACATTGGGACCTTCGGCGGAGCCCCTATGGGGCCACGAAACGTGTGAGGGGTGTGTCGAAATCAGTGGCGGGGACGCATGCGAGCTGTGCCACTGGGACCTTCGGTGGAGCTCCCTACGGAGCATCGAAACGTGTGATGATGTTGATGATGCTGAATGCTGGTGATGTTGATGACGACGATGATGACGATAATGATGATGATGGTGATGATGATGATAATGATGATGATGATGGTGATGATGATGATGATGATGAGAGGAGGGCAGGAGGGTTCTTAAACCCGCGTGCTCTCGCCCGTGAGTGGGCGCCCCTGGTCTCGGCACCCCGCGCAGGCGACGCGCCCGAAGCGGGGTGGGCCAGCGGCCCCATCACACGGCTATTTGCTGCCGCCTCACTGCTGACTCCTTGGGTCTCCCTTCGAGCGGCGGCAGACTGACAAAAATGCTGCCGCCTCGCGCTCAGAGCCCGAGGAGCAGCCTGATGGACGGCTGCTGCCGCTCCTCGGCTCTGCGCTGGTCCTGGGACCGCGCTGGGCTGTGGCCTAACCCCTCGCCACGCTGGGGTCCTCTGCGG